TAGAGAACAGACTGGATGTAGAGAACAGACTGGATGTAGAGAACAGACTGGATGTAGGGAACAGACTGGATGTAGAGAACAGACTGGATGTAGAGAACAGACTGGATGTAGAGAACAGACTGGATGTAGAGAACAGACTGGATGTAGAGAACAGACTGGATGTAGGGAACAGACTGGATGTAGAGAACAGACTGGATGTAGAGAACAGACTGGATGTAGGGAACAGACTGGATGTAGAGAACAGACTGGATGTAGAGAACAGACTGGATGTAGGGAACAGACTGGATGTAGAGAACAGACTGGATGTAGAGAACAGACTGGATGTAGAGAACAGACTGGATGTAGGGAACAGACTGGATGTAGAGAACAGACTGGATGTAGAGAACAGACTGGATGTAGAGAACAGACTGGATGTAGAGAACAGACTGGATGTAGAGAACAGACTGGATGTAGGGAACAGACTGGATGTAGAGAACAGACTGGATGTAGAGAACAGACTGGATGTAGGGAACAGACTGGATGTAGAGAACAGACTGGATGTAGAGAACAGACTGGATGTAGGGAACAGACTGGATGTAGAGAACAGACTGGATGTAGAGAACAGACTGGATGTAGAGAACAGACTGGATGTAGAGAACAGACTGGATGTAGAGAACAGACTGGATGTAGAGAACAGACTGGATGTAGAGAACAGACTGGATGTAGAGAACAGACTGGATGTAGAGAACAGACTGGATGTAGAGAACAGACTGGATGTAGAGAACAGACTGGATGTAGAGAACAGACTGGATGTAGAGAACAGACTGGATGTAGAGAACAGACTGGATGTAGAGAACAGACTGGATGTAGAGAACAGACTGGATGTAGAGAACAGACTGGATGTAGAGAACAGACTGGATGTAGAGAACAGACTGGATGTAGAGAACAGACTGGATGTAGAGAACAGACTGGATGTAGAGAACAGACTGGATGTAGAGAACAGACTGGATGTAGAGAACAGACTGGATGTAGAGAACAGACTGGATGTAGAGAACAGACTGGATGTAGAGAACAGACTGGATGTAGAGAACAGACTGGATGTAGAGAACAGACTGGATGTAGAGAACAGACTGGATGTAGAGAACAGACTGGATGTAGAGAACAGACTGGATGTAGAGAACAGACTGGATGTAGAGAACAGACTGGATGTAGAGAACAGACTGGATGTAGAGAACAGACTGGATGTAGAGAACAGACTGGATGTAGAGAACAGACTGGATGTAGAGAACAGACTGGATGTAGAGAACAGACTGGATGTAGAGAACAGACTGGATGTAGAGAACAGACTGGATGTAGAGAACAGACTGGATGTAGAGAACAGACTGGATGTAGAGAACAGACTGGATGTAGAGAACAGACTGGATGTAGAGAACAGACTGGATGTAGAGAACAGACTGGATGTAGAGAACAGACTGGATGTAGAGAACAGACTGGATGTAGAGAACAGACTGGATGTAGAGAACAGACTGGATGTAGAGAACAGACTGGATGTAGAGAACAGACTGGATGTAGAGAACAGACTGGATGTAGAGAACAGACTGGATGTAGAGAACAGACTGGATGTAGAGAACAGACTGGACATAGAGAACACCCTCTATGTAGAGAGCAGTCTGCATTTATACAATTGACTGGATGTAGGGAACAGACTGGATGTAGAGAACAGACTGGATGCAGAGAACAGACTGGATGTAGAGAACAGACTGGATGTAGAGAACAGACTGGATGTAGAGAACAGACTGGATGTAGAGAACAGACTGGATGTAGAGAACAGACTGGATGTAGAGAACAGACTGGATGTAGAGAACAGACTGGATGTAGAGAACAGACTGGATGTAGAGAACAGACTGGATGTAGAGAACAGACTGGATGTAGAGAACAGACTGGATGTAGAGAACAGACTGGATGTAGAGAACAGACTGGATGTAGAGAACAGACTGGATGTAGAGAACAGACTGGATGTAGAGAACAGACTGGATGTAGAGAACAGACTGGATGTAGAGAACAGACTGGATGTAGAGAACAGACTGGATGTAGAGAACAGACTGGATGTAGAGAACAGACTGGATGTAGAGAACAGACTGGATGTAGAGAACAGACTGGATGTAGAGAACAGACTGGATGTAGAGAACAGACTGGATGTAGAGAACAGACTGGATGTAGAGAACAGACTGGATGTAGAGAACAGACTGGATGTAGAGAACAGACTGGATGTAGAGAACAGACTGGATGTAGAGAACAGACTGGATGTAGAGAACAGACTGGATGTAGAGAACAGACTGGATGTAGAGAACAGACTGGATGTAGAGAACAGACTGGATGTAGAGAACAGACTGGATGTAGAGAACAGACTGGATGTAGAGAACAGACTGGATGTAGAGAACAGACTGGATGTAGAGAACAGACTGGATGTAGAGAACAGACTGGATGTAGAGAACAGACTGGATGTAGAGAACAGACTGGATGTAGAGAACAGACTGGATGTAGAGAACAGACTGGATGTAGAGAACAGACTGGATGTAGAGAACAGACTGGATGTAGAGAACAGACTGGATGTAGAGAACAGACTGGATGTAGAGAACAGACTGGATGTAGAGAACAGACTGGATGTAGAGAACAGACTGGATGTAGAGAACAGACTGGATGTAGAGAACAGACTGGATGTAGAGAACAGACTGGATGTAGAGAACAGACTGGATGTAGAGAACAGACTGGATGTAGAGAACAGACTGGATGTAGAGAACAGACTGGATGTAGAGAACAGACTGGATGTAGAGAACAGACTGGATGTAGAGAACAGACTGGATGTAGAGAACAGACTGGATGTAGAGAACAGACTGGATGTAGAGAACAGACTGGATGTAGAGAACAGACTGGATGTAGAGAACAGACTGGATGTAGAGAACAGACTGGATGTAGAGAACAGACTGGATGTAGAGAACAGACTGGATGTAGAGAACAGACTGGATGTAGAGAACAGACTGGATGTAGAGAACAGACTGGATGTAGAGAACAGACTGGATGTAGAGAACAGACTGGATGTAGAGAACAGACTGGATGTAGAGAACAGACTGGATGTAGAGAACAGACTGGATGTAGAGAACAGACTGGATGTAGAGAACAGACTGGATGTAGAGAACAGACTGGATGTAGAGAACAGACTGGATGTAGAGAACAGACTGGATGTAGAGAACAGACTGGATGTAGAGAACAGACTGGATGTAGAGAACAGACTGGATGTAGAGAACAGACTGGATGTAGAGAACAGACTGGATGTAGAGAACAGACTGGATGTAGAGAACAGACTGGATGTAGAGAACAGACTGGATGTAGAGAACAGACTGGATGTAGAGAACAGACTGGATGTAGAGAACAGACTGGATGTAGAGAACAGACTGGATGTAGAGAACAGACTGGATGTAGAGAACAGACTGGATGTAGAGAACAGACTGGATGTAGAGAACAGACTGGATGTAGAGAACAGACTGGATGTAGAGAACAGACTGGATGTAGAGAACAGACTGGATGTAGAGAACAGACTGGATGTAGAGAACAGACTGGATGTAGAGAACAGACTGGATGTAGAGAACAGACTGGATGTAGAGAACAGACTGGATGTAGAGAACAGACTGGATGTAGAGAACAGACTGGATGTAGAGAACAGACTGGATGTAGAGAACAGACTGGATGTAGAGAACAGACTGGATGTAGAGAACAGACTGGATGTAGAGAACAGACTGGATGTAGAGAACAGACTGGATGTAGAGAACAGACTGGATGTAGAGAACAGACTGGATGTAGAGAACAGACTGGATGTAGAGAACAGACTGGATGTAGAGAACAGACTGGATGTAGAGAACAGACTGGATGTAGAGAACAGACTGGATGTAGAGAACAGACTGGATGTAGAGAACAGACTGGATGTAGAGAACAGACTGGATGTAGAGAACAGACTGGATGTAGAGAACAGACTGGATGTAGAGAACAGACTGGATGTAGAGAACAGACTGGATGTAGAGAACAGACTGGATGTAGAGAACAGACTGGATGTAGAGAACAGACTGGATGTAGAGAACAGACTGGATGTAGAGAACAGACTGGATGTAGAGAACAGACTGGATGTAGAGAACAGACTGGATGTAGAGAACAGACTGGATGTAGAGAACAGACTGGATGTAGAGAACAGACTGGATGTAGAGAACAGACTGGATGTAGAGAACAGACTGGATGTAGAGAACAGACTGGATGTAGGGAACAGACTGGATGTAGAGAACAGACTGGATGTAGAGAACAGACTGGATGTAGAGAACAGACTGGATGTAGAGAACAGACTGGATGTAGAGAACAGACTGGATGTAGAGAACAGACTGGATGTAGAGAACAGACTGGGATCAGCTGTTTTTTTACGCTGAGCTATTGGAGCTCATTAAAGCAGTTCAGGTGTCTGGATGAAAAAAAAAAAACTAAGTCAGTCTGACTATAATTTCTAGATCCAATTCATTGAGTTTAAATGTGATTATAAATGAGTTACTCAGAGGAGCTCCAGGTTTAAAAATACAGGTTTATATCAAGATTTTTATTTTTTTTTAATTTTGATTCCTTACTAACTTCCAGATAACATATTTATGCTGTTTTTTGATTTTAGATTTAAAGCATAAAATACCTAAGAATTAAATGCTAAAATTAAAGTAATTAAAGTGAAATTGTTTCTATTTTATAACCAGTTATTGTACGTTTCATTTTGGACAATTATCAATAATAAAAAAAAAAAAAAAGTGGTAAAGGCTGCTTTAAAGGACGGAGGTTGGTCTGTTGGTTCTGGACCAAACATAAAGGAACCTTGGTGTCTAACTCAGCTTCTGGTTGGTTAGTTCTGGAACGATGCTCTCAATTAGAACCCAGGACTGTTCCTCCATGTTCTCCCTCTGCTCTCACTGATGGTCTCCATTCTCTCTGCCCTCCAGCTGTCCATCCTGTCAGAGGTGTCACATGGCCAAGGAGGCGAGAGGCCAGGCTTCCTGGTTCCGGCCCAATCGGGGGCGGAGAATTTCCACCTCAAACTGGCTCCTCCTCCTCTGTTTGAAGAGTAGCTCCATGATGGATTCCCCCACGGTCCTCCAGAACCATCCTACCCAGGAGGAAGGATCCATCAGTGGAGCTGCTTCTTGGATCAGCTGTGAGACCCAGCAGAAGCTCTTGCTCCAACCAACTTATGTATAAACAGAAATGGACCGGTCCAGACCCCATATGTTCATAAGAAGGTGGCGCTGCTCCTCATGTTCAGCCATCTCCATGGGGCGTTTCTAGCACTACACATAGTTCTGGTTGGTACCCAAGATTAAATCGGCTGTTCAGCTGGGCCTGGTACCAGTCCAGAACCACTGATCTGTTTGTGGTTTTCTAATAAAACAGTGTTCAGCATTTCATTTGCTTTCTGACAGTTTTTTACTGGAAGAATCAGACGTTTAACCAGAACGGATCATCTCCACAGATCAGAGAACAACAACCTGCTTTGTTCCCATCATGAACTTCTGCTTTAGTTGGATCCAGCAGTCAGCGTGGATCATCTCCCAAAAGCTTCCTACCAGGATTTCTGTTGGCATCACAAAGCTGGGATCTCCTATGGAAAAACTTTTGTTCCAATATTATCTAAAGCAACGAAAGGCATTAAAAATGTTTACTTTGAAAAACAAATATTTTTTTGTTTGACTTTTGCCCCCCCATTCTTTCAGATTTAATTTTCACAAATTAAATCAAATGTAAGATCTTTTGGAAACACTTTGGCTGTTTCTCAGTTCACATGAACGCGAGTACGGACTCATGTCCTTGCCAAGTATGGTCTTGAGAACACAGGAAAGTGTGGACTCTGGGAGAACAGGAGCACGCAGCATAAATCTGGGTCAATTGGAACAGCAGCGTACTGATGACATCACCACATTCAAAGCTGGTCTGGAGCTGCATTTCACCTCCTGTTATTAATCGTCTCAAGATAATAATAAATTCTGACTTTTTTTATTTATTGGGGGATTAATAACAGTCAAAAAACCACAAATCCACAAATGGGTAATAGGGGAGGGGACTTTTTCTGTTCTCTGTCTTCTTGTTCTTGTGAACTGGAACAGTACTAGGGCTGAGGATGATGATGTTTCACGAGTAAACGAGAACACACAAGTCCACATAATGGGAAACAGCCTTTCAAAACTTATTCTTTTAAAATCCGATTTGGCAGATTTCCCTGTCTATGTGCAGACCAGTAGAAATGAGACTGCACTTCATCGCCCTTAGCAACAGCATTTCTATTGGCCTGCACTCAGATCACTTAGGAATGTGGAAAAAAATGCAACAATACAAAAATCTGTCTCCTCAAAACTAGGAAATCAAATCATAAAAATTAGCATTCATAGGTGGATCTTCTAAAAACATTAATTACTCTCAAAACTCTTTTTCAATTGAGTTTTTCAAACTTCCTCTTTTAAAACTTGTTCCTTGGTTTTACATACTGGCACCAATGTCTCTCCATAGATTCTGTTTATTACCTGGATCCTATAAACTCACTTGTTGGAACTAGGGACCAGAGCAGAAAACCTTCTTTCAGACGGAACCCCGAATCGCTGAGTTCAAAACGGATCCACACACGCTCTTAAAACAAGTTTAACATTTTATTTAACACGTATATAAATAGATCATCTTCCAGACGTCATGGAAACAGGAGCCTATCAGAGTCCTCCTGACAGCTGTTAGATCTCTGATCGAAGGTTAGGGAACCTCCTCAGCAGAGTGGTGGCCTGTTTCGGTGACAGACGTCCTCCCGCGGCGTCGCTATGCTGAGATTTGTTCTTCATGGCTGCCTGTGGGACACAAACATTGTTTAACTGCAGCCGTTTTCTGCTGGTTTCATGCAGAATGAAAACTGAGTGGCTTTCAGTTTTATATAGCAGTGCAGCTCCTGATTAATCTGAAGAATTTATTAACCTTTTCTACGCTTTGTATCTTCACTTTAGCTGAAGGTTCAGATATTTTGCAGACTGACTGACCAGGTAGTTTGATTCTACACCAGCAGATGGCGCCGCTTTACCCTGAAGAATCCTGGGAAATGCTTCCAACTCTGCTTTGCCTTTAGTCCAGAAATTAGTTATACCAAAAGATTTGACTGTATTCATTTTGCTGTCAGATGATCGGTTAAATAGTTATTCATTTCATTCATTACTTCCAGAAGTTTCTTTTTTTTAATACTTTGTATTTTCCAGGTTTGTAAAGAGCAACAAAAAAGGATAAAGACATTATTATTTGAGGGTTGGGGGTAGGGATGGGAATCGAAAACCGGTTCCTGTTCAGAACCAGTTCCGTATTTTCCGATTCCATGGCATCGTTTGGCAGCTGAATGATTCTTTTTTCGATTCCCGCAGCACCAGAGCCTAGAGCGCCGGCTCTGGGGAGCACGACTTACATCACGTTTTTTACGTACGTTACGTAAGTTACGCAAGTTGGAAGAACTATTCGAGGAGGAAGACAACGAGCTGCGGTCACTTTGTGAATCAAAGCCCCGTCTTTCCTTAGCCCAGAGGGTAGATCAGGAAATCCAGCTCTATAAAAGCTTGCCCTCCATCCCCTGCAGGGATAGCGCCACACTGTGGTGGTGGAACAAGCAAGATGGGATAAAGCGGGATGGAAAAAGGTGTAGCCATCAAGACAGTCTTAAGGTCTGGTTATCCTCCCACAGCAGTGAGCTTGTCACAGATATTTTTGGTTTATGCCCGATATTGAAGCGTGGTCTGCGCTGTTATTCCACGCCACAATGCAAGAGGGACAATCAGGAACTAGCTGTGGGTCTAGATATGGCCAAGGCGGTGAGGAAGTGGGGGCAAGTTTGAGGGACATGAGCTCGAAAAAGAGCGGGGATCCGGGTGGATAAAGGGTCCCAGCGTTCTCAGGCACCTCTCTCCTCTAGCTGGTCCATCTTCACAAGTTGTTTTCCACAATGGTGGTTATACAAACAAAACAAGCCGGTCAGGTACCAAACAGGAAATACGCATAGAGTAGAGAGGATGTAGATTTGACCAATCAGAGGTCTACTGTCTGCGGTCACCTACAATTTTGGAGAGCTGCAGCAGAGTGTTTTCCTTTAGTTGTGAAGCATAGAGGTGGAAGCATCATGCTGTGGGGCTATATGACCATAGCAGGGACTGGTGAACTTTACTAAACGTCTCACATCTTCTGACTGCTCATGCCCCTCGGCAGATAGAACAGCGCCCTCTGCTGGTCAGATCTGAATCCCCTGGTCGGGCTGGAAAAGTTCGTCTCAGACCAAAGGTCACAGCTAGAAGAAGAAAGCAGCTTCTACCCAGTATAGATCTAGACTCACCTGGGCCTTCTGAACGCATGAGTAGAAGGTTTGAACCTCACTGGAGCACAGCCCGTCCACAAAGTTGTTCTGCTTCCAGCAGGCCATCAGGAGGGACATCTCTGTGATGCAGGAGGCCTCTGGAGACACAAACACACTCAGCATTGTTCCAAATCTTTGAAAAACTCGGTAAAATCACATTCTTGCCAATCAAGCTGTCAAACTTCCATAATCAGGCTCTAACTTGCAGGTCGCTTTTATACAAACTCAATTTCTCCCCTCATAAATGTTTTATCTGGAACAATATGCATATCTTACATAGAAACAAGACTCTTTATACAAAACTGGTTTTAAACATGGTGTTGTTCTGGTAGCCCAACTGTTGAATAACTCGAAACAAATTCTAACATATGACGACTTCACTCATAAATTTAACTATCCTCCAAGAAGAGAATTTGACGTTGTAACCAGACCCCATGGGATCATCACCCTATTTAGAGATGAGAAAGAGTTAGATCAAAGGAATGTTCTTGTCTCCAGCAATATTTCAATAAATGGTTTGTCTTTTCTAGACAGAAAAGTCAACAACAAAGTTATTAAAAACCTTCTATGTGCAAACTCTATCCCTGCTTCCAGGTACAAATGGTCCCCCCTGTATGAAAACATTAACTGGAATAGAGCCTGGAGTAACCCACATACATTTTTAATTACAAACAAAGTAAAAGAAATAACATTTAAAATACTCCACCATTATTACCCCTGTAATAAGATTATTTCACAATTCATCCCCACTGTAGATGAAAAATGCTCCGTTTGCTCTTTGGAAATAGAAACATTAGACCATTTATTGTATAGCTGTTCACATAGCTCTTCTCTGTGGAATGATATACAATGCTTTATTAATGGTCACTTTGGCTCAAACATACTTTTATCCAGTTTTCACATTTTCTTTTATTTTTCTGACTCAAAGCCCTCTATACAATATATAGTCAATTTATTTATTTTACTTGGTAAATTCTTCATCCATAAGTCAAAATTTATGAAGAACAAACCTCTTTTCAGTGTTTTTAAAGTTGACTTAAAAAATTATATAATCTGTATTTCTGGATTAAAGGGTAAATCTTTGTATGTTATTTAATTGTTGATGTTGAAATTTGTCTTTTATGTATTTTACTTTATTTTCTTTATCTTTGTTTTCCCTTCATGCAAACGTGAACTGTAACTTTCTAAGTTTTGTAATAAAATAAATAAAACCACACTGAGCCTTCCGGAGGGAGGGATGGAGGGAGGTTCTGGGACCGGCCCGGTTCTTACCTCCTTTCCTGGGTTTCCTGTTGGCCACTGAGTCCTTCAGAACCAGCGGTCTGTTGGGTTTCAGGGTCGGTTTCCCGTCCTTCCTGCTCAGCAGCCTGCTGACCTTCTCCTGGAAAGCAACTCCTCCCTGCGCCGCCATGTCTCTCACACCGAACCGGCTTCTTAGCGGAGAGATACCGCTGCTTTGGACTCAGACCGACCAGCACCAGGACCAACCAGCCGCCGCACCGGACGGCCGTAAACAAAACCGGACTGTCGTGTTGTCTTGCTGTCGCGTTTGATGGCGGTTGGCAAACATCTTTTCGGCGCATTACCGCCACCTACTGGTGAGGAGTGTGGATCAGAATGGCCCTATTCATAATATTTATTTATCTATATATCTATAAATTCTAAATCCTCCTAATTATTCCTGTTACTATTAAATATTTAAATAAATATTGATAATTTTTACTTTTTCTCTATCATACCTATATCTATCAAATCAGATTTAAATTTCTCCTTATTTAGGCCTCTAACCAAATTCTTTCTTTCTTCTTCATACTTCTTACATCATTACATGTTTTACTGTTTCTACTTGTCCACAATATTCACATTTGCCTGATAAGTGTTTCCCTATTTTGAATAGTGTATTATTTAATTCTGTGTATCCAAATCTAAGTGTTGAAATAACTGTTTCCTCTCCTCTGCTTCCTCCTGCTCTCCTCATTCCTCCTATAAAACCATCTTCCTCTCCTTTCTTCTTCCCATTGTTTTTGCCACCTTTCCTTCATC